TAGTGTGCTCACCTCACCCCAAATTTTGGTATCATCAGCAAATTTAAACAGGGTGCTTTTCACCCTGTCATCCAAATCGCCGATAAAGAGATTGAACAGCGCGGGCCCAAGGATCGAGCCCTGGGGGACTCCGCTGCCCACTTCTCCCCAGGTTGAATATGACCCATCCACCACCACCCTCTGAGTGCAACACTTCAGCCAATCTGCAATCCATCTGACTGTGTAGGCATCAGTGCCACAGTCACCCAATTTCTTAATGAGGATGGGGTGGGAGATGGTGTCAAAGGCCTTGCTGAAGTCCAGAAAGATTACATCCACAACAACACCTGCATCCAAGGCTTTTGTGACCTGATCATGAAAGGCAATCAGGTTGGTCTGACATGACCTCCCCCTAATGAAACCGTGGTTGCCCTTGAGCATCATCTCTGAGGCCGGCCCATCACAGATGTGCTCCATGATGATCTTCTCAAAGAGTTTCCCTAGGATTGAGGTAAGACTGACGGGCCTATAGTTGCCCGGGTCCCCCCTCCTCCCTTTTTTTAAAGATGGGGACCACATTGGCTACCTTCCAATCATCCAGCACCTGGCCCAAGCAGCACGAGCGCTCATAAAGCCTTACCCTATTCTATCCTTATGATAAATTATTTTAACCTTATCCTGTCCTAAAGGGAATTTGTATAAACTTTAAAGGCTTCCTATTAGGAACGTGACTTTGTTTATGTCAACAGACACTCTTCAGAAATACAAGCTGTAGTTCTCAATTTGCTGACAGATGCCAGGAAACCAGCAGACTATTCTTTAGGCCTGTAGAGAGGAATAATTTTTCATACTTTATTTTAAATACTAGTACTGAATTTTTACAAACTCTGCTTCATTTGCCACTCTAAGCAAAATGCAAACAGCAGCAAATTATCCACTCCAATTATCAGGAGTTGATAATTGGGGGTGGGTGATGAGGAGCAGAGGGATGCTGGCTGCAAATCAGAATAGTGGTGAGTTATCCCTAGGCCTGGCAGGATTCAATTCTTATCTTTAACCGTTGATAAATGTTGATTTCACCTCACACTCACAGCCTGATGAAAAATATTCTCATTGTTAATAATCAAAATTTGTAGAGAGAAGATGTAAGGAAAATGATAGCTGATGATGAGGACAGCGGGGAGCAGTCTCTCAGAACAGTGCTGTCTGTGGTTTGGGCCGCAACGCCCAAAAACCCCAGTGGATTGGGAAAAAAGGAAGAGGAAGTAACAAGTGGACAGGAAAGCTACAGGCGAGCAGAGCTGAGACTGATGACAGCTATGCTACTCAGCTGGTAGCAGTCTTACAGTAGTTATGTTTGTTGCAACAGGTGGTTAAACTGTACAATAATCATATTCTACTTTCATTAATAAACTGCCTGCCCACCATACCCCTAATTTAGCGCAGTCCTAAAAATGTGATTGGAAAATCAAAATACATGCTTAAAAATAAACATTGATATTATTTATCAAAACTATAAAAAATGTGAATTTTGTCAAGCCTAATCATCTCACAGGTGAAGTAACCAGAGTATACTGTACACGGTGCATAGTTTGAGGAGCCTGAGTTTGTGTAGCAGCATTGCTCACAAGTTTTTAGGTTACAACCACATTATTTTGGTCTTTCAGAGCACTAGCCCCACTAAACCTGGCACCCTTATATACATGGTGGGTCCATCATACTTATTACAAGAAAAGTATATTACAAATAGTTGAAAAGGTTTTTTTAGTACACTGTTGGGAATGTTTTCTATCCTCTGCCTATAGAATCAAGCACCTTAGCTATCCTGAGTCTAAATATGAAGGGTTGAAAATGTGCCAAAAAACCCACAAAAAACTGCAGAAAAGTTTCTGATACTTTTTAAAAAAGTGATAATTTTAAGAGCTGGAGGCAAACATTCCAACTGAAAGATGGGAACATTTCTTCTCTACATCCATAAGTAAAAGCCATAAAGGACCACAACAATCATCTAGCTAACCTCACCAAGCAATTCCTGCATCAGATCCAGTAATTTCTGCTGAACCCTCTCATAAAGCCACACAAGAATTTCTCATTCTAGCACTGGAGGGTCACTAAGCAGGGTGGTGACCAGTTACTAATGTGGAACTTAATACCCCCTAGCCAGAGCCCTCAAACTAGACTCTTTTTCCAAGAAAAACATTTTTGGAGAACATATGCAAAAGGCAGGGATTTTTGTGGGTGATACATTTTTACTGAACCAGTTGCATGGTTGGGATAGATTTAGACAAGCTTTAAAATGCAGTGCACTCATCTTCACATTGGGAAAAGGTAACAATTTTTGGCAGGTTGATTTTGCAGTAGCAGATGCTGGAAATTGCTCAGAGATGTGGAACAGTCCCAAAAGACTAGTGAGTCAAGTACAGGCATGACCGTTAGAGATATGTGATGAAACCAGGAATGGGTGACTAAGTTGAATTGGAAGTGTGAGACAGATTATCTCCATCACATACTATTTACATACCATAGCTCTAAGCCCTTTCCTCTTTTGGAGCTCGGTAAGCAAATTTGATGGGTATTCCTCATCTCTCCTTTATCTTTGCTTTGTTCTTCCCATAGGGAGAGCAGAAAGAGACATAGCTGCCTATAGCTAGTCAAGGCAAAGACCTCCCCACTCCTTATTAACTGTCGATCGTGGTTTGTTAATTTTACCTTTACTGTGTACATTACTGCTGAAGAATTCAGCCTCACTACATTCGGGAGACTTGCTACATTCGGGATTCTCTCTCATAGTAGATGCCTGCAACATCAATGGCTAGGATGCCCTGCCCATTTTATTGCTCCATTGTTATCAGAATTCTGAGCATTGTTTTAGGCTGGAGGAAAAAGCACCCATAACTTATCTGAAAGGAAAACAGCAAATAACATGGTCCTGGGCCACAGGAGGCTGAGCAGAAGCAACTTCAGATGAGTTAGCTTTAGACAGAGAGCCATGCACATGCAGGTCCTTTGCCTCATGAGAGGTATACATACATGAATGGCTACATCAAGTGACTCCAGGATCTATATGGTAAATAAGGTAAGTGGGATCTCAGGACAAATTTGATGTCAATGAAACAGTATTTACTGCTGTTATTGCAAACCGCAAACCAGGCAGTGGGGTCCACCCACAAAATGAATTTGGAATAGGACAGGAAAAACAGCTTTCTAAAGACAGCATATCTTAGTCTTTACATCTTCTTTGAACATTGCTTTCCTGTGCAGGTAAGAAGGATTATTAAGTAGATGGGCAAAAGTCACATTATAGGATTATGATTGTTTTTTGTTTTCTCTCCATGGGTCCAACAGTAATGCCACTAACGAAAACAGAGGCTATTGCACAAAGGCCCTCAGACCAAGTGTTTAACTGAAGAGCAATACCTTTGCAGACACTTCAGCACTGATCTCCTCCTGTGTTTCGGCCAGTCGTTTCTTGGCAAGTTCTGTCCTCCTATCACACTCTGCAATAAAGGACTCCAGGTGGTCCATGGCCTGCATGTGTTCAAACAGAGAACTGTCATTAGGCTTGCTTTTATCTACACATACAATATTGTAGGCTGTGGGCTCTGGTTTTCAGTGCTTTCAGGCAAAAACAATTCCTGCACAGAGCAAAGTCTTCCACATAGCTTCAATAATATCCCCCTTCCCTTCCCCACATAGATACAGAATAACATTTACAAACCCACTAGCAAGGCTCAATATAGCAATTGTCATGTTCCTTGTACTCATCTTGCCTACTCTGAGAAAGGCATGATTTCAAATGGAGGGTAGAGACAGAAGGTTAAATCTACCAGTCTGTTCCTTCTGAAATATAATGATGGTTCTGGTTCTGGTTCTGAACTATCATACAAGAGACAGAGCTCGACCATAACTGACTCCCTTTTCCTTCAGGCAGAGAAAGTTTCATGTGACTTTTCTAAGTGGGGTGGGACAGAATATTTTCTTAACCAAAGAAACAAAGTAGAATTAGAAAGAAATGGTAACTAGGAGAGCAGGATGTCAAGTCAGCACAGTCAAATGGGATGTACTCAAAAAACTGGCTGTGATAACTGCAGAGCCAATGGCTAGTCCCTCTGGTAACTCACTGAGGTTGGGAGAGGTCCTGTATAACTGGAAAAGGGTAAATATAGTGTCATTCTTCAAGAAAGGGAAGAAGGATCCAGCATGAACGACATGTGTCCCCAGAAACTGGGGGGCATGGCAACTGGCCGCAGGTGGCGGAGGAGTGGCGGCAAGCTCCTGCAGGTGGCCACAGCAGTGTTGGCAGCAGGGAGGGGTAGCGAGTGCCAACCTCCCACAGACGCCACTGATGGCGACGGCAGTGAGGGGAGAGGGAGGAGTGGTGACCGCCTGCAGGCACCACTTCTCTCAGGGGGTGCATGTGCACCCCCTACATACTGCTAATGGGATCCAGGGAATTACAGACCAGTCAGTCTGACCTTGATACCTAGAAAGATCATGGAGCAGGTCATCAAGGAATCTATTTCTAAGTACCTGTAGGAGAACAACGTGACCAGGAACAATCAAGAGCAGGAATTCACTAAGAGCAAATCATGCCTTACACCAACTTGATTTCCTTCTATAGCTAGGTGATAGGCTCTGTGGATACAGGGTAGGGGACAGGGGGAAGCAGTGGATGGGATATACCTTGACTTTGTCATGGGAGATGATGTTGAAAGCCTTGCTATTCTCATTAGTATGTTAAGATACATTAAAGTATTGTAAGGTGGATATAACTACCATATTTCACAGCATAGAAGTTGAGCTTTGAAGCCCAATTTTTAATTCTTAAAATTCAACCTTGACTTATACACCATAACAATACTTTTGACCCCCACTCCAGTGCCGCCCCGGCCAAACCCTGGCCCAGCCCTGACCTGACATTCTTCACCTACCAACAGCGTCCCTGTCGCTGGAGGCCATAGAACCCAGGCAGAGCCTGAGCACAGCCTGTGGGCCTTGCCATCACTATGGAGACAGTGCTTGGCCACGCACTGAGCCTGTTCCCATGTCCTGTGAGCGGCACTGCCTGGGCTGCACCAGCTAAGCCTGACTCTACTGTGCTCAAAGAGTCATTATGAATAGCTCACTGAGTGTTCAATTAGGAGAAGGTATCAAGGGGAGTCTGTTAGTTTTTTTGTGCTTTTGGTTTGAAGTAGTCATAAGAAGGCCTAATCAGAAACAAAAAACTAGCATGTGGCATCATTATAGTAAAGTTCAAGCCACTGAAGGAAGGAAGAAAGTTGGTAGATGTAAATATTGCAGGCAGGAGTATGCTAACAATGCAACAA